TGCTGGGCCCCGGCGATCCTTCCGCCTCAGCCTTCCGAGTAGCTGGAACTACAGGTGCGCACTACCACACCTGGCTCATTTTTGATTTATTGTAGAGATGAGGTCTTGCTACAGGCAGGTCTCGAACCCGCGGGCTCAGGCAATCCACTCACCTCAGCCTCCCAAAGTGCAGAGATGACAGGCTGAGCCACCGAGCCTGGCCTCCTTTGTTTTTAGAGACACAAGTCTCACTCTGTCGCCCAGGCTGGGCTGCAGTGGCGCCATCGTAGCTCACCATAGCCTCGAACTCCAGGCCTCAGGTGATCCTCCAGCCTCAGCCTCCCAAGTAGCTGAGACTAATGGCACATGCCACCATGCCCGGCGCAAAGCCTGTGACTTTTGAATCTGAGATATTTCCAGCCCAGACTCTGATTCTGGTAGAGTGAATTTTGTCTCGGCCACTTACTAGCTCTATGGGCTTGGCCGAGTCCAAGTTATGCCTTTTCTGAACCTCAGGTTCTTCAACCGGAAAATGGGTGTTGAGTTAGCATCAACCCGTTGTCGTGGGTGCTGACTCTGCGGCTGTTTACAGCCCCCTTGGAGCAGCGCCTGGCCCTGAGTTTGAGCCCGGTCAGGGTCTCTCAGCCTCATCACCACTGACACTTGGGACCCATCCTGTGCACTGGAGGGTGTTCGGCCGCATTCCTGGCCTCCACACCCGATGTCAGCAGCACCCCCTCAGTCCTGATCATTAAAAATATCTGGCCCCAGCTGGGCTCGTTGGCTCAGCCTGTCATCCCGCGCCTTTGGGAGGCCAAGGTGAGTGGATTGCCTGAGCCCGCAGGTTCGAGACCCGCCTGGGCAGCAAGACCTCATCTCTACAATAAATCAAAAAATCAACCGGGTGTGGTAGCGCATGCCCGTAATTCCGGCTACTCGGAAGGCTGAGGCGGAAGGATCGCCGGAGCCCAGCAGGTCGAGGCTGCAGTGGCCGGGAGCGACCACTGCACTCCAGTCTGGGCGACAGAGTGAGACTCCAACTCGGAAAAACAAAAACAAAAAATGTCTCCTGCTGGGCGCAGTGTCTCACGCCTGTCATCCCAGCACTCTGAGAGGCTGAGGCTGGGAGATCTCTTGAGCCCAGGAGTTCAAGACCAGCTTGGGCAACATAGTGAAACCTCGTCTCTACAAACATTTTAAAAATTAGCCTGGCACAGTGACGCCTGCCTGTAGTCCCAGCTACTCAGGAGGCTAAGGTGGGAGGACCACCATAGCCCAAGAGTATGAGGCTGCAGTGAGCTGTGATCACACTGCTGCCCTCCAGACTGGGCAACACAGTGAGACTTTGTCTCAAAAACAAACAGGCTGGGCCTGCTGGCTGTTCCCCAGTACTTTTTGAGGCTGAGGCGGGAGGATTGCTTGAGCCCAGGAGGTCAAGACCAGCCTGGGCAACATAGCAAGACCACATCTCCACAAAAAAATCAAAAAACGAGTCAGGTGTGGTAGTGTGCACCTGTAGTTCCAGCTACTTGGGAGGCTGAGGTGGAGGGATCACCTGAGTCCAGGAGTTTGAGGCTGCAGTGAACTATGATCACACTGCTGCCCTCCAATCTGGGCAACACAGTGAGACTGTCTCAAAAACAAACAGCAGGCTGGGCCTGCTGGCTGTTTCTCAGCACTTTGGGAGGCCAAGGCTGGAGAATCACTTGAGCCCAGGAGTTTGAGACCAGCCTGGGCAACATAACGAGATCTCATCTCTACAAAAATCAAAAAATTAGCTGGGTGTGGTGGCACGCCTGTCGTCCCAGCTACCCGGGAGGCGGAGGCAGAAGGATCACCTGAGCCCAGGAGGTCAAGGCTGCAGTGAGCTGTGATCATGCCACTGCACTCCAGCCTGGGCAACACAGCAAGACCCCCTCTCAAAATAAAAAACCAGACACGTCTGTCTGCCAGCAAAGAGCTGTTCCCCCCGCCAGAGCTTCCGGGTGTCCCACAGGACCTGCACCTGAGGTCCCACCAGCAGCGCCCTGACTCCCGCCCCCCCCCAGGAGCTGCTGATGGCGCACGACTTCACCAGGTTCCACTCGCTGAAGCCCAAGCTGCTGGAGTCGCTGGATGAGATGCTGACCCACGACATCGCCAAGCTCATGCCCCTGCTGCGCCAGGAGGAGCTGGAGGGCTCGGAGGCGCGCGTGCAGGGCGGCGCCTTCGAGGGCACCCACATGGGCCCGTTCGTGGAGCGCGGCCCCGACGAGGCGCCGGAGGACGGCGAGGAGGGCTCGGACGACGAGGCCGAGTGGGTGGTGACCAAGGACAAGTCCAAGTACGACGAGATCTTCTACAACCTGGCGCCCGCCGACGGCAAGCTGAGCGGCTCCAAGGCCAAGACCTGGATGGTGGGCACCAAGCTCCCCAACTCTGTGCTGGGCCGCATCTGGAAGCTCAGCGACGTGGACCGCGACGGCATGCTGGACGACGAGGAGTTCGCGCTGGCCAGCCACCTCATCGAGGCCAAGCTCGAGGGCCACGGGCTTCCCGCCAACCTGCCCCGCCGCCTCGTGCCGCCCTCCAAGCGGCGCCACAAGGGCTCGGCCGAGTGAGC